TTTTTCTCGGGAGCCGGCTGCAAAACTTTGAGCCGGCTTTGCAACTCTGACTTTAAATACATTAATAATCTTCAAATGACTCGACCGTTGTGCATTAAATGCACCCTCACAGCCGGCTACAAAGCCAGAGCCGGCTTTGCGCCTTTTCTCCGCGCGCGCCAAACAACGGTCTTCAAATTTTTGTCTGTAGAGCCGGCTGCAGCTTCTAGAGCCGGCTTTCTGCATTCCATTTCACCAGAGCCGGCTGCAGCTTCCAGAGCCGGCTTTCTGCATTCCATTTCACCAGAGCCGGCTGCAGCTTCCAGAGCCGGCTTTCTGCATTCCATTTCACCAGAGCCGGCTGCACTTTACCAGAGCCGGCTCTCTGCACATTGAATCCTTTTGGTCTATTTTTAGTGCCATCCAAGTTTACTTACAATCTTTTAGCAACTTAACTACACACTTAAATAAACCAATTAGTCACTCAAATGTGTTTTGTAATCATCAAAATCATAAGTACAACAGTACGGACCCTCAATTTGGTCCTTGAACTAAAAAAATCTCTGATTTGATCCCTGAACTATTGTATGAACCCCCAATTTGGTCCTTAATGTTTATCAATTTGCTCCAAATTAGTCCTTTGTACAAAAAAAAGTTGACGTGTCTAGTATTTAACAGCAAAAAACAGTAACTTAATGGCATAAAACAGTAACTTAACGACCACGTGTCACATTAATAACGAGACACGTCAGCTGTTTTTGTATAGAAAGACCAACTTTGGGCAAATTGGTAAACAGTAGGGACCAAATCGGGGATCCGTATAATAGTTCAGGGACCAAATCGGGGGTTCGTACAATAGTTTAGGGACCAAATTGGGGATTTAACCTTTTTTTATTGGCAGGCATATTAATTTTTAACTATATTTATATGCTTTAAAAATTTTTTGCCATTATTTTGTCAATAGCGATCATTTTGCTATCTACTATGCTATCATAATAAATTTTAACCTTCCCACTATTTGCCACTATCCATTACCAACAACATCGTGAGGAATCTATTTACACATAATTCTTACACACCACACTTACACAATATCTCAACCATTTATCTCTTCACTTTTAATGATTGAGATTTATTTATATTTATTAAAGATAAGGTTAAACCCCCATTTTGGTCCCTCAACTATTGTACGGACCCCTGACTTAGTCCTTCAACTCAAAAAATTCCTAATTTGGTCCCTATTATTTACCATTTTTACCCCAATTTAGTTCCTCCGTTAAAAATCCAGTGATGTGTCCCGTTAATTAACTAAGCATAATGACGTGTCAAAATAGAGTGACACCTTATATGCACAC